ACCTCCAGGATCTACCCATTCCTAATCACTGTAGCGTGTGATAAGGATGAAGGCAGGTAAGAAATTCCATATATCATACTTGCGATGAGGTGCCTTTTAAATGCAGCTTTGTTTATTTTCACTGGATGCACTCAGAGTGGGGATGATTGACTGAGTTAACAGCAGAGCACACTGAGCAAATCAAAGAGACTTGCCTACCGACGACACGAAATACAAATTGTGTGAAGTTCGGCTACTGAGCACCATGTGATAGAATCACATGAATGACACATCATCCATCCCACGCAAACGCGCTCTAGGTGGAATAGGAGATTGTATTGCCAAATGGATGTCAAACAGGCAATAAACCAATGGCATTCTCAGATATCCTTTTCTCCCATCCAATTGGCCTCTTCACAGCCAGTAATGTGCACAATCAACGTGTTAACGTCAATAGCATAGACTAGAGGCGAGGTTGAGCTGAATATATGTTTGGACCTCGTGTACCTCCAGTTCATATTTCATAAGCTAATCCAGTGAATCTACTGAGGTGAGTTTTTTACCTATTCTGCTCCATTCCAAATTATAACGTGAAGTTCTTGTTCCTCGCTCACATACTCCTATCCTCTTACTTCTCCCCCCACAGCATGGGCTGCATTATTTCCTGTGGCTTGAAGCTCATTCTTCAAATATTTAATATCGTCCTTTGTGTAAGTGATGTGATAAGATTACGTTGGTCTTCTTCACTTCATGCGGAAGCAGCGCTCAATTTCTTTCCCATTTTAGGTGGCCTTTTTGGCCGTAGCTTTGTTTGGAATACTGCTAAAATACTCTAAATCTGTTGTTCAACACCTACTGTCAAAAGTTTTTGATCAATTCAATATCGGTGAAGAAGATTTGCGCCAATTGACAAGATTCATTATTGACGACGCCGGTAGGTGGTATCGTAATCATGCCCCACCACGATGGTAATCTTTAGTTCTTTTGCAATGGCATAATCCGGTAATGACTTATCTCCAACAGATTACATCGCTATAATCCTCGTTGTAATCGGATTGGCGCTGGCAGCTCTCTGTCTTATCGGGTGCATTGCTTCGTGTTGCGGGTGTAATATGCTGCTGAAGATTGTAAGTAGAATTTTAATGAGGTGGGCTAAAGCCAAATGATCACATTTAATGAATGACAGTGATTTTCCACTTTTTCTTTCTAGTATGCCACCCTCCTGATTATTCTACTTGTCGCACAAATCATCGCTGTTTCCATGGTCTTCTCCGATCCAACCCTACTGACTTCTCTGATTGTTAGCTCTCTGGAAGAGCTTCTCAAGTCATTCGGTGATGTATGCTATGGAAGAAAAATGCCATCTACCATCTGGAATGTAGTCATGACGGTATGTATCTAAAATGGATCTGATTTTCTATTTTATAAGTAGTATCAAATACTTTCCTATTAACCAGCTATTTTTCATAACAGGTAAATCCGAAATGCTGCGGTATGGATGGCTGGGGCGATTTTGGTACGTTCAAGAAATATTCACCATTTCTCTTACGTTTTTGTGCGCATATTTTGTTTTACCATCTTTGCAGAAAAACTGAACAAATCTATACCAGCTCAATGCTGCAATATGACGTCTGATGCTTGCAATACTAAGGCAGCCCAAAACACCAGTATGCCGGGATGCAGAGACAAAATTGTCAAATTTACCACAGACAACATGATGACATTTTTGTATATGTCCATTGTTGCCATTCTGTTGAAGGTGAGTTCCAGTGCAGTTCTATGCCATGCCAGTAAATGGGGTGATTGTGGGACTATTTGTGAAGCCCCCTTTGTTTACATTTTAGGCTGCACTCATCGTAGTTGTGATGCTCGCAATTTGTTTGTAAAGTAGCAGTAGAGGCAGCAGAAGATCGCAGCATATGTTAACAGGACCCCATCTTTTTACTTTCAATCCCTCTTTCACGCCAACAACCACCCACTATTTTCCCATTATCAAGAAATGCCCAGTTCTATGCTTTGCTATGTGCTAGTTGATATATTCGGTGAACATGGGGATTGGCGTTTGCTTCGCTTCTGGGTGTTTAATTCAATGCAATGCTTTTGAAGAGGTTAGACCGCAAATCTGCCTCCATCACTCACTCACTCACTGTGGATGAATGTAATTGGATTTATCAGGGCCATCAGATCTCGTATCTCACAAGACTGTGCTTCAGTAGCTCGGTGTATATTTGATGTGGTGCAGACTGCACATTCGACTATTTAGTGGAGTAAAAGGAAGAGAAGGTGTGAATTAAGTTGGCATTGGTTGGAATGAAATTGGCCTACATAACGGGCTGTGTTAACAGGTGATACTGGCAGGATGGTTAGGAACACAGGGATGTTTAAACAAGAGAGGAATGAAAACAGAAGAAAATGTTTCCATTCTTAAGAAAGGTCCGCATTTATTTATCACTTGGAAGGCATTTTTATGTGCTTCAAACTGTCATGTAATGACTAGTCACACCAAGTTCGAAATTGCTACTGGTATTTTGAACCGTACCAGGACCATGCAGGGGGGGGATCACCGTATATGTAGATAGTGACATAAAGTGTTGATTGGAGAATGCATTTGCTTTGTATCATCAGCCGACATGGGCATCTAGAGATGCCAATTATGGTTTACTTATAGTTCGCAGAGAAGTGGACAGTTCATAGTGAACAATTTTCATTTGGTCAACGGACCATTGCACATATGTGTCTGCCGCCATTTCGCCTTCAATATAAACACTAAAAAAAGAAATTCCGTTAATAAATTAAAACTTTCAGGGATGTAGTTATGAGTGAAGGAGGCGAATGTCGATGCCCAAACTCTTTTTAGTGACGTATGTTAAGTCACAGAATGATTCCATGGCAGAGCGCCAATCATCCATTTCGTTTATAATACCAAGCTAGCCTAGTTTGTTCACCAGAATCACGATGCCGTGGCCTTAATCGCTTTTGTGGAAGGTGATCTGAAACTCTGGTCAGAATTCGAGACAGGTGTTGACAACTACGCCAGCGATTATTGGTTGACACATGATCGGATTATCGGTGGGAAATATGGCAAAACTATAGGCCATCGATATAAGAAAGAAGGCACAAAATGAGGCACCACAGCCAACTAACCGTGTAGACATTCGTAATGGTAGCCACCAATTATTCTTTTGCAATAAGAGGAGCCTGGAACAGCCACCTCACCACAATATGGTACTGATCTTGCTCTCAGGCAAGCATTCCGATTGTCTGTACATTCCTGATCTTGCCTAATTTTGTTCGATCATTCGTTTCAGCATTTAAATAAGTTGTATGGTGAGTGCCATTTAGCCTAATTGCCAGACTGAACGCGAGCACACGTAGTACCAGCTTGCCCAATCATACGCGTTGGTGTATCAGAGAGTTGTCTGTGCATTGCTCAATACGTAAGCCTGACAAGCTGCAATGTTGGATGAATGGACGGATAAGTGGTGAAATAATAAAAAAACCCAGCTTACCACTAATTACCTCTTTCACTCAATAGACTTATGCAGCATTGCACGCAGAAGAAGTTGTCCTCAGTCTGCTTCATAGGCGATTTTATCATGAGAAAATGAGTGACAGTCCGACTATATCCAGTCAAAGTGCTCAAGTGGGGTCATTAGAGCATAAGTAAAATAACACTTGCCCACTAACCAGTGGTGACGGACTCACGATGTAAAAGACTCCTCGCCATAAATAAGTGATTTAAAGGGATGGTGAACCAAAGATCATGTATGTCAAGTTCGAGATGCGATACCTTTTAAGTGCTTTGTCGTATATCATCACTGAATGCGATTAGGATGGATAAGTTTGATGCCTTTCGCACCAACACGCACTGAGCATATCGGAGAGAGCTGCTCTATGACGACACATTCCGCAAACTGCTGCAATCCCTCCAACTCGACAAGGGGTGGCATAATCAATGGAGAGATAGGCCTTTCAACCAATGCACAAGTACTCTAGAATACGCAAACATTGAATAACCCATTATGACCTAGGGAAGAGGCAATTGGCTAATCAGCCTTGCCAACCAATCGCAATCAGACGCACCCCTGATCTACTCCTATTGGTCACTTCACCGCCAGTAATGCGCAGTCATCGTGTGAAAACCAATAAAATAGACTAAAGGGGAGGTTGAGCCGAATATATATTTGGCTTTATGCAACTTACTTCATAGTTCACAGGCCCCACTCGAAACTATAACGCGAATTTCTTGCTCCTCCTTCACACACTCCCATGCTCTTCCATCTCCCTCCACACAATGGACTGTGCTATTTTCTGTGGCTTGAAGCCCGTTCTTCAAATCCTCAATATCATCCTCTGCATAAGTGATGTGAAAATCATGCGATTGTTTATTGTGTTATCTCACAGAAGTGTCAAATTCTTTTCTAGCTCAGGTAGGCATTTTGGGCATGGCAGCATTTGCCATTATTTTAAAACTGTCGAAAGGCTTAATGCAAAGAATTTTAAAAAAGGTTTTTGAGATAGATACAAATCCAACTAATGACGATGAGAAAAAGTTTGCCAAGTTCATCACTCACAATGCAGGTAGGTGATATCATAAATAATTTAACATGGCATTGATATTCCTCAGTGCTTTTGAAATAGCATAAAAGGCTAACAAATCATCCCTTGCAGATGGCGAAGCTATAATTCCTATTGTAGTTTGATTGGT